ATATATATATATATATATATATATATATAATTATTTGATTACCTTACAAATGATTGCTGGGGTTTTTTTCGTTGTTGGTATTACGAGGTTAATTGGGTTTTAAAATGACTGATTACTGTACCTATTACAATTGCATTTTAGTACCTGTTTTTTGTATATATTTTTGTGAATTTTTCTGTCATTTTCTCTTTTCTCTGATATTTATGATTACATATTATCACCGAGTTGGTTGGATATTGAAAAGTGGATATCTATGTCAAAGACAGTCTGTTCTTAAGGCAATAGTCTTTATTGATTCATCTTGTGAAATATGTCATATGTCAGGTTTTGGCGATGACTAGTCTCGGCATTCATGATGTAACCGTGTCAGTCGAATATGACTATCTACTCATAATAAACTTCACACTCGACTCATTTAACAAGCTTTGCATAAAGTTGATGCATAATTCGCTATTATAATTCCCCTTTTCGTTATCTGTTTAACAATATTTACGAAATATTGTTAAATATATTTGCGGTAAAATATTCACTTGCCGACACGATTGACCGACTATAACCCCGCTCTATTGCTACTGATAAGGTACAAATATATGCTAGTATGTCTTATTAACGCGCTTTTCTGTAGATCAGACTATTATAAACCTTTATGTAAAATATAAATTACTATAAGATTATAAATCTTAAACGTCGCTGCATGTCACAGACAAGGACTGTGGAAACTGTCACAACTATAGCAAAAATTCTGTAAAGATGGAAGGACACAAATACAGAAAAATCCTGAAGGAATCTGCATGCGCTGCTGGAAAATGCAGGACGATTCATCTTGCAACAACGACCCACAACAAAAGCTGCGTTTGAAAGCGCCAGAAAACCCTTCAATACAATAATGCAATTGAGTTTGCACTGAAGTGTTGTTCAATAATGGCCCCCATCCAAACGTCATTCTTTGCTGCCTAATGCTGTGTTCAAGTCCTCCTGGGACGTTTGTACTTACCAGTTGACAAGTCGTAATTAAGACGTCAGCTGCGTTCAAGTCGGTTTAGTCGGCACAAGATGGCGGTGTACCTTCTTTTAATAAATTACAAGAAAATACAACAGGGTCTGTTAACTCTGCTTATAGAAAATGAAGAGCAAAGAATTCGCATCAGGTGTGTTTTGCGTTTTTAATATTTTTAAAACGTAATTTATGAAGCCACTTTAATCTGTATAGCATAAAAACTTGTTATTATTTGTTATATTACAATCCTGCCACATTCAAAAAGCTTATTTTTTGTAAATAAAAAGCCTGACAATGTCACTGCTTAATACCTATAAGTATTGTGATTTATGTTTTACTTTGGCAATCTTTATAGGACAACTAACATCAGTTTAAACAAATTTACCGTCAACTACAGACGTTGCATCCATCGATTCCGCCATGTTTCTCATTGACACGCCCCCAACTCCGAAACTCGGGGCTTAAAGAAAATTTCAAGTTTCCCACTCGTAATAACGACTTTGTGGTGGCGTTCATGTGCGTTCAACTCGTAAATACCATCTATCCGACATGACTTGAACGCAAAGGCAATGCACCGGCGTTAGAGTTTATCTGAGGATAGTGTAAGAAGGATTCAACAGATCACACGCAACTGCAGTGCTTCTGTGAACGGAGAAAACAGAATAAAACTATAGGCTTACATAAAAAGGAATATCTGAGAATTAAATTCACACACACACATTGCATTTTACAATTCTTAGTATTCCACAATCATGAGTTGTCATCTTTTGTGTATAAGCTGTACTAAGCTATCTCACAAGGTCAGTGTGATATATATATTTCACGTATTTTGAAGCCATTTGATAAGATTTGTGTGGAGAAAAGACCACAATTTAAGCAGATATTTAACGGTAATATTCACCTCAGCCAATGTCGTTTTGGCGTCAGTGACGCCAACGCGCCATTTCTGGACGCGAACGCGCGCTTCGGTTTGATGGAAAATAGGTGTATATAACCGTTTCATTTTAGTCAGTTCCTTACACTGAATATTTTTAGGATACAATGCTTAAATCATATTGAGTATTCTTATGAAACTTTTATGATCCTCTTTGGTTATTCGGGAGTTTAACAGTCGTTGTCAAAATGAGCTGTCCTTATGGAAAGAAATTAGTTTAGATTCCTCAAAAAAACGATTCACAGGTTTGAAATGACATGAGGGTGAGTAAATAACGACATAAATTTCAATCTGGAGTGAACTATTCCTTTTAGGATGAATGTTGTTATGCTTACATTTCTCAAATGCTAAATTGCCTAATATGACCAAGGTATTTTTGTATAAACACACATTTTTATACATTAGAATCGTTACCTTCTTCTTCTTCTTTTGGAGTTTTATGGCTGGCTGGCAAACAAACGATAGGTGCATTCCCGCCACCAGTGTTGCCAACTTCTTTCAATGGAAAGTAGCTAATGCTGTGTTCAAGTCCTCCTGGGACGTTTGTACTTACCAGTTGACAAGTCGTAATTAAGACGTCAGCTGCGTTCAAGTCGGTTTAGTCGGCACAAGATGGCGGTGTACCTTCTTTTAATAAATTACAAGAAAATACAACAGGGTCTGTTAACTCTGCTTATAGAAAATGAAGAGCAAAGAATTCGCATCAGGTGTGTTTTGCGTTTTTAATATTTTTAAAACGTAATTTATGAAGCCACTTTAATCTGTATAGCATAAAAACTTGTTATTATTTGTTATATTACAATCCTGCCACATTCAAAAAGCTTATTTTTTGTAAATAAAAGTGTTCGAACTATACTGTGGACTTTGGGGTAGCCCACTTGTTTTATTTGGGGGGGGGGTTGGTGCGCTTGCGCGTGAATGAAGGCTTACAATGACTTACAAAGATACATAACAGTTATAAGTGTATGCACTACTTGCTTTATGCAAGCACTATATAGGATAAATCACTATACAGGATTACCCTAT